ATAATGTCTTTATTTTCCTTCTCAATTACTTTCAACGTTCCCATAATCCATATTCTCATTTTCCTGGTCTGTTGTATTTGCTGAATTATGTTCTCTTAGCTCGACAGACATCATAATTCCTCCTGTTATTTCAATGTTCCTTGTATGAGTAGGTCTGGCTGTCTTGTACTTTGGTCGGGTGTAAAGGAAGTAAAAACGAAACAAAGTACTTAAAACTTATCACTGTTAAACATGTTTTCGTTGCCCAATCGAAGACTTGATTAATATTATCTTGTAGTTTCCTGTGTCTTCTACTGAGGTGTTTTTCATGCTGATTTTTGTGTCTGTAAAAGAATGATCCGATTCTGTGACTAGTATTGTTGTCCATATCTGATAGGAGAATGAGAGAGTGGTGGTGGGAGAATGTTCCCTGGGGGTAGAGAGCTTGTCACTCATCTTAGTCTTGGTTGTGATTTGATTGACTGTTACTCTTTGCATTGTTTGACAGAGTATTGAAAATACAACGCCTTTCTTTGCCAGTTATTTTTGTTGCTCTCATTTTATGGGCTATCACTTTATGGTCACACGACCAACCTCTTGGGCTGGACGGTAGAGCGACGGTCTCGCTTCATGCAGGTCGGCGTTCAATCCCTGATAGTTCCCTTCCCTTCCATGGTCATGCTTATCGAATGCCTTTGCAAAGTCCGTGTATACAATATCTAGATTTTGTCTTCTTAACCACTATCACAACCACAGAAGCATGAGTAACTGTAAGACAGAATCTTCCCGCTCTAAATCCACGATGACCTGGGCTGTGAAGTTCATTGTTCTCCATTAACACTGGAAATTTGATTCGTAATCACTTAAAAAACAAAAAAATGTTTAGTGCGACGGGTCTAACAACAGATACTAGATCTCTGAACGTTGGCCTAAAAACTAACCCAGGGACACTCAATAAAAACTAGTCTTGTTGACCAGACCACACACTAGAAGGTGAAGGGAAGACGACGTTTCGGTCCGTCCTGGACCATTCTCAAGTCGATTGAAACGTCGTCGTCCCTTCACCTAGTGTGTGGTCTGGTCAACATACTTCAGCCACGTTATTGTGACTCAGTCTGCAAAACCAGTCTTCATTACTTGCGTCCTTGTGTATTACAATATATTGTGATCCCCGCCGCGAAGAATCGTTTTTTCATCCAAGTACACATTTTACTGTTGCGTTAAACAGAGGCTACAGTTAAGGAATTGCGCCCAGTAAATCCTCCCCGGCCAGGATACGAACCCATGACATAGCGCTCGCGGAACGCCAGGCGAGTGTCTTACCCCTACACCACGGAGACTTTTATGTATAGACCTTCCACGGTTGACAGCTGTTCATCTTGTTGCTTCCAGCAACACCCTAGTGTTACTGAGAATTGTCACTTGAGTAAAGGACACTGTTTTGAAGTCTTGCTAGTGCTGACCCCAGCGTCGCAGACCCGCAAGCTGGTAGTTAACCTGCGTTCATCAGGGCTTGCCTTAGTGAACCAGCTAGCTGCTCGCACAAGTCTGCGTTCATCAGGGCTTGCCTTAATGAACCAGCTAGCTGCTCGCACAAGTCTGCGTTCATCAGGGCTTGCCTTAATGAACCAGCTAGCTGCTCGCACAAGTCTGCGTTCATCAGGGCTTGCCTTAGTGACCCAGCTAGCTGCTCGCACAAGTCTGCGTTCATCAGGGCTTGCCTTAGTGAACCAGCTAGCTGCTCGCACAAGTCTGCGTTCATCAGGGCTTGCCTTAGTGAACCAGCTAGCTGCTCGCACAAGTCTGCGTTCATCAGGGCTTGCCTTAGTGAACCAGCTAGCTGCTCGCACAAGTCTGCGTTCATCAGGGCTTGCCTTAGTGAACCAGCTAGCTGCTCGCACAAGTCTGCGTTCATCAGGGCTTGCCTTAGTGAACCAGCTAGCTGCTCGCACAAGTCTGCGTTCATCAGGGCTTGCCTTAGTGAACCAGCTAGCTGCTCGCACAAGTCTGCGTTCATCAGGGCTTGCCTTAGTGAACCAGCTAGCTGCTCGCACAAGTCTGCGTTCATCAGGGCTTGCCTTAGTGACCCAGCTGCTCGCACAAGTTGATTGATGCGTATGATGGCAAAATATCGTTTTCGTACTGGGTTAATCATTTACATTTGTGTGATGAATGGAACGGTGCAAGAAAGTACAATTTTTGTTGGGCGAATAGTTTGGCTTAATCCGCTAGATCAAACTTTTGAGATTAGCTTCTCATTGTTGGTTGAATCTTGGCGAAGCAATTGTTTGGTGGTTAGCGGAGCTGTGGAACTCCCGGGTGTAGGGTAGGGGACCCAGCAACACCTTAATGAAGGCCAAGCTATCTTTTTCTCGATATGGAATATGGCGTCATTATTGATGATGGGGGGGGGGGGGAAGCGTAACCAGCTGTCCTTCGCCACGCCCACGCTCCCAGGGGGGCCCTAGTGGTCGCTGCCAGGGGTCCTAGTGGTCGCTCCCCCAGGGGGTGGGGGTCCTGGTGGACGCGCCGCCAGGGGGTGGGGGTCCTGGTGGTCGCTCCCCCAGGGGTGGGGGTCCTGGTGGTCGCTCCCCCAGGGGGTGGGGTCCTGGTGGTCGCTCCCCCAGGGGGTGGGGGTCCTGGTGGTCGCTCCCCCAGGGGGTGGGGGTCCTGGTGGTCGCTCCCCCAGGGGGTGGGGGTCCTGGTGGTCGGGCTCTGCCACATTGCGCCGGCACGGCAGGAGTACAAGTTAGTCGTGTGAAGTGGGTCAGGCGTAAATGATAAAAGTGAGAGTGGCGGGGTTGTATAGGTAAGCAGTGCATTGTTTGTCGTGAGGTAGCGGCGGAAAAGAAATCTTGCCGACCCTTCCCTTCCTCTCATTTCCTCTGCTCTCATTTCTCGCCCTCTTCCCAGAGCTTGTCACAATTTTACTGTGAAGTTTCTTCACGTTATTACTGGAATAGGCTGCATGCAGCCGCCAGGACTCGCCTGTCTTGTCAACATTCAGGCGTGGGAACAGACGAGGTGCTCGCCTACTGAAGGACTCGACACTGACTAATTGAACTATTTTTAAACACCATCTTTGCAGACGTGTCTGAACACTTCTCTAACAGTACATGATGACCTAAAATAAACATGTGAACTAACACACACTAAACTGACACCTGGAAGCACCGAAGTTAAACAACTGGCCAACCTCGCCGCCTGACTCAACACCTTGTTGACTCACCTGTTCGTCAGGTGACCTTCCCTCTCTGGAAGCTTCACTCCCGTACACAGATCTTTATTTACTTGGCAAAACATTCAAATAAATCAATTAAAAATGAGCAATCAGTAGGAGTGGTAATCTCTCATAGTTTAGCTACATTTGCAGGCGATAGACTAGTTTTATTGCGTTTTTTATTACTGGAATTTATTAAAATTGTGCAAGTAATAGTTACAGGAATTTTCTTTGGCAGTGATCCGTGCCTGGACCCAGGCGTCCAGTCATGCCTCTTGTTGACATGGCGGTGGTGTGGCCGGGGCTGTGTACACGTGTAGCGGTGGTGTGGCCGGGGCTGTGTACACGTGTAGCGGTGGTGTGGCCGGGGCTGTGTACACGTGTAGCGGTGGTGTGGCCGGGGCTGTGTACACGTGTAGCGGTGGTGTGGCCGGGGCTGTGTACACGTGTAGCGGAGGTGTGGCCGGGGCTGTGTACACGTGTAGCGGAGGTGTGGCCGGGGCTGTGTACACGTGTAGCGGAGGTGTGGCCGGGGCTGTGTACACGTGTAGCGGTGGTGTGGCCGGGGCTGTGTACACGTGTAGCGGAGGTGTGGCCGGGGCTGTGTACACGTGTAGCGGTGGTGTGGCCGGGGCTGTGTACACGTGTAGCGGAGGTGTGGCCGGGGCTGTGTACACGTGTGGCGGTGGTGTGGCCGGGGCTGTGTACACGTGTAGCGGTGGTGTGGCCGGGGCTGTGTACACGTGTAGCGGAGGTGTGGCCGGGGCTGTGTACACGTGTGGCGGTGGTGTGGCCGGGGCTGTGTACACGTGTAGCGGTGGTGTGGCCGGGGCTGTGTACACGTGTAGCAAAGGTGTGGCCGGGGCTGTGTACACGTGTAGCAAAGGTGTGGCCGGGGCTGTGTACACGTGTAGCGGTGGTGTGGCCGGGGCTGTGTACACGTGTAGCGGTGGTGTGGCCGGGGCTGTGTACACGTGTAGCGGAGGTGTGGCCGGGGCTGTGTACACGTGTAGCGGAGGTGTGGCCGGGGCTGTGTACACGTGTGGCGGTGGTGTGGCCGGGGCTGTGTACACGTGTAGCGGTGGTGTGGCCGGGGCTGTGTACACGTGTAGCGGTGGTGTGGCCGGGGCTGTGTACACGTGTAGCAAAGGTGTGGCCGGGGCTGTGTACACGTGTAGCGGTGGTGTGGCCGGGGCTGTGTACACGTGTAGCGGTGGTGTGGCCGGGGCTGTGTACACGTGTAGCGGAGGTGTGGCCGGGGCTGTGTACACGTGTAGCGGTGGTGTGGCCGGGGCTGTGTACACGTGTAGCGGTGGTGTGGCCGGGGCTGTGTACACGTGTAGCGGTGGTGTGGCCGGGGCTGTGTACACGTGTAGCGGAGGTGTGGCCGGGGCTGTGTACACGTGTGGACACACGCCCGGGTCCCATCATCTATCCCTTCCGTTAGCGTTACGCACCGTGTCAAACTATCTTATGTTCAAATTATTGTATACCAAGACTCGACGGCATCAAATGTAAAGGATACATATGCCAGGTATTTTAGCGTAGCTATTGACAGCAATGCTATTTAGTTTGATAAGTGTTAATAACAGTTGTCAGCAATTCAACACGTGTTGCGGATCGCTGTTCATACTGACTTTTAACTCTAACAATTACAGTATCATTTGACTGCCTGAAATTGTGGTACGACATGCACATTGATTTTTTTTTTATTTATTACCGAATATTTTAATTTTATATTGTCATGTATTGTGTCTGGTATAAACAAGCAGGAATTATATAAATCTTGTTCCCATTACAGAACGCAGTCACTCACAAGGGTCCGGCGGACAAGACCAAAGTAACGCTCATGTGGGAACCTCCGTCAGACTTTGCTGGCGATGTTGTCTTTGTGTGAGTATCAGCTTGGCGCCTTCACTATAATTGGATATCTGGTAACTACACCTGGGACAAAAAAAAAGAATTTTGTAAACCAATTAAAAAAAAATTTGGAAAAACCAGCCATATTGTTACTGTGATCAAACAGGGAGATCATTAACATTGTTACCTCTCTCTGTCGGTAGCAAGGTTCCCACTCCTAACAAAATTATGAAAAGAATGAAAAATGTGTATATATATATATATATATATATATATATATATATATATATATATATATATATATATATATATATATATATATATATATATATATATATATATATATATATATATATATATATATATATATATGTCGTACCTAATAGCCAGAACGCACTTCTCAGCCTACTATTCAAGGCCTGATTTGCCTAATAAGCCAAGTTTTCATGAATTAATGTTTTTTCGTCTACCTAACCTACCTAACCTAACCTAACCTAGCTTTTTTGGGCTACCTAACCTAACCTTACCAATAAATATAGGTTAGGTTAGGTAGGGTTGGTTAGGTTCGGTCTTATATCTACGTTAATTTTAACTCCAATAAAAAAAATTGACCTCATACATAGAGAAAAGGGTTGGTTTATCATTTCATAAGAAAAAAATTATAGTAAATATATTAATTCAGGAAAACTTGGCTTATTAGGCAAATCGGGCCTTGAATAGTAGGCTGAGAAGTGAGTTCTGGCTACTAGGTACGACATATATATATATATATATATATATATATATATATATATATATATATATATATATATATATATATATATATATATATATATATATATATATATATATATATATATATATATATATATATATACCATGGATGGCTATTTAAAATTTATGGATTACTCATTTTAAATCTTGGCTGTTGTAGCCTGTTTATCTTGTTTGTAGGTGTTCTTTTTATTTATTTGTTGAATATATCATTTCATAAGGATAGTTAAAACTTTTTTTGTTGCAAAATATTAAATTGAATGTCGTACAAAAAGTATCGTTGCTTTGGTGGTTGCAAAGACGGGAAGGGCTAAAGGCCGGTGTGAGGCTGTTGGCGGTACTGTTATAAGCCATTAGGGTCATGCTTGAACTCTACACTGTATGAACATCAGAGGTTCACGGTTGTTAAATATCAGAGATAAAGATCTCGCAAGTCAAGGCTGACCCTGGACTAGACTTGAAGAATAAATCCCATTCACCTGGGCTCGGAGACTCGAACCACGGACCCCACGCGTGTGAGGTAGCAAATTAGGAATTTTTATTCCTCAATAAAGATTGTGGAATAATAGAATTCCCAGAACCTCATCCAGGTTATGTAAGCACGGCGAAGATTATACTGTTACTTGGCGTGTTCCATTACCTTGTTCAGTCTCTTCTCTAAAATGAACACTAGACGCTAAATCAGTCAAGTCTAATAATGACACTTTAATGTAAGAGGGAGTCTGATGTTGAGGTTTAGGCCTCAGGCCAGGTACTGAAACTGGAGTGTTGCCACATAAGCGGGGCGTGGCCGGCCGGGCGGGCTTGGATCGTGACTGTGGAGGCCCTGCAGCATTAAGGGTCCCGGGGCTTCAGGGCTGGGGAGGGGTGGGGCTTCAGGGCTGGGGAGGGGTGGGGCTTCAGGGCTGGGGAGGGGTGGGGCTTCAGGGCTGGGGAGGGGTGGGGCTGCTATTGCTACGCGCCACACCCTCTGGGCTGAAGGTAGCCCAGGTGAAGGGAGGAGGACCCGACACGTTCCCTGGGAGAAAAATGCCTGAAGCGTAATCTGTCTTGAGGTGCTGTCAGGGGTGGGATCGATGGCTGCCTTTCACCTGAAAATTGAAGAGCAAGGCTGTGAAAATAATTTAGCTTAAATTATTTCTGACCATTTATTTGCCCAAAATGCTAAATGTATTAACTCCATGCATATATTATGATAGATATATTGTGGGCGGTGCTGCAGAAATGCAGCAGCTCATGAACTCGACTTATTACTGTAGCTTAATAAGTTACACCATTGTTGACTCAAGTTTGTAAGATTATGCCGTTTCTTTAGCCTTGTTAGTTTACTAGGCTAGAGGTAAATACTGTGCTCATCGTGCACTGTGACTTGCAATGTTGTTAAAGTGTAAGTGTGTGGCCCATGAATTTGTGCAAGTTTTGTCCAAAACAATTACTCCTTAGTGTGGGCGCAAGCTTTGTGTTCCCCTTGGTGCTGGGTGTGACACCACGGCCTGGGAACAGTCACCAGCAGGGCGGACATGGTGTAATGCTCGCCGGTGTATTGGCTCATACTACTATTATTTTGCTTCCTTTGATAGCCTCGTACTGTTCATAATGTTTTCCTTAACACTTTACTACTTAGAAAATGTTCTCGTCCAGTAATTCTTTCATACAACAAATCGGCAATCTGGCCAATAATATTTATCACCCAAGATGTACCCAGAATAAAGAACACCTAGCATTATTAAGCTGTTATATCAAACCTTACATTAAATGTTGTACATGTTAGTTATCAAACTTACACCCAAAAATGTGCTCAAAACCTAACGTTGACTGGTGTTTCTTCAGAAAAGCTTTGAGGCGATTCAGCCCGTTCCCGCGAGCTTTCCCAACATAAAGAAACGGTCTTACTAAAGTGCCTTATCCTAACCTAGCAGAAGACCCACGAACCGAAAACGGGCCGCTGTCAGTTTTGCGTGCCTCAGTAATTTTCTAGCAAGACACTTTTTGACCTTGGGATAAAGTATACGTCAAAATATGACAGGCAGTTAGGACGGGGGTTGACGATTGGCCAATTAATAAGCTTTTGCAGATTCGTAATTTTTTTTTTTTTTTTTTTTTTTTTTTAATAACCAAGACTACGGTTCATAAGGACTGTCACTGTTAAATGACGTATTTAGTGAAACTGCAAGAGAGCTGTTATCCTATCTCGGTTCACCCAAAGTCTGCTCCTAGAGACCAATTTATTTTATGAGCCTATTATATGCATCTCATTAACAACATTTGCTAACAATCATACAAGAAACAGGATGAGTTTTAGCCAATAAAAAAAAAAGTGTGCTAGAGCCTTTCTTTTTCTCTTTCCCCGTCGCCCCAACTCCCACCTGTGCATGCCCCGCCCTCGCTGTTTGGTCTGCCACTCACCACCTGGAAGCATCTGCCCAGCTAAGGTACCAGACCATAGGGCTCGTGATCTGAGGGATTCGACTGACGGAAGTGAAAGTGGTTGTCTGTGTCGGCGTCTCAGACTGGACAGACCTGCATCCCCGTTACCTCAGACTTCCCCCCCCCCCACTTCCAATAACCCCCAAACACACACCCTCCATTGACCCCCTCCATCCCACTTTAGTGTTATCCCATTAACTTGTTGCTTGACTTCTTGAGGTAATCTTGAGATGATTTTGGGGCTTAGCGTCCCCCGGCCTGGTCCTCGATCAGGCCTCCTTTTTGTTACAACCCCCCCCCCCCCTTCCAGGAAGCAGCCCGTAGCAGCTGTCTAACTTCCAGGTACCTATTTACTGCTAGGTAACGGGCATCAGAGTGAAAAACATTTTGCCCATTTGTCTCCGCCTCTGCCGGGGTTCGAACCCGGAACCTCAGGACTACGAATCCGAAGCGCTGTCCACCCACCTGTCAGGTGCCCTGACATGCCTGATTATGTTAATGTTAGCACACTTATGTTAATGTTGAAAACTAAACTTTTCCTGTGTACAGTCCAGCTGGGCATTTTTATCACGGTATATCTTGTAACATTGCAAGTTTAAACATTTTCATATACTGTAATTCCTTTCAGGGGATCATTTGTGCTGGAGAGGACAAGCTTCTGGGTGGACGTGACCTCGGAGAAGATCAATGTGACCAAGCGAGCTGTGGCCCAGGAAGCTCCTGTTGATGTAACACCAGCCCCTACTTCCACCACCACTTCCACATCCACCACCACCACAACAACCACATCCACCACCACTACCACCACCACTACCTCTTCACCCTCTGTAATTTTGGATTCCAATGCGGTTGGTGCAAAGAATGCGGGTGACTTTGTCATCAGTGTGGTTGATGCACCTGGTTCAGATGTAGTGAAGAATGACAACAGTTTGAATAAGCCTGATAAAAACGATAATCTTTCAACTCTTGCTCCATTCCCAACTTCAATTTCTACTTCACCTCAGTCTTCAACTGTCAATCCTGGTAGTCCTGTTAGTGATAGTAGTACAAATAGCAGTAGAACTAGTCCAGTGGGTACTAGTGAGGGTGAAGGTGTTACGGAGGAGGAAGAGGTTATAGGGGATCAAGATGGTACGGAGGAAGGTGGTACCACAGAGGGAACCGGCAGGACACCACCTCGGCGAAGGTTTGGCCTTCTGGGGCGCAAAAAAAATACACCGGCTGCTGCTGCCACCACTTCCACCACCACTTCCACCACCACTGAAACTACTGCATCTCGTGCACCTAGTGTTCCTAGTCAAGACCTGTCACCAGTTAGTATTTTTTAGCAGGATAAGTTCTTCACTGGGTTATTCAAATGACTGCAAGTTTACTTTTAAACAATGTTGAAACAAAAATAGCATTCACTCTGTATTACAGTGTACTTCAGCTCGAACGGAACTTAAACCTTAGGAATACTGGTTGAACCTGTAACTTTCTTCAGGGGCAAAATATAATCCAACAATTCCAGATCCACTTGATATGCTCTTAGTTTTTCCCAGCAAATGCAGAGGGAATTAAATATTTTTTTCCCAAAGTGCAGATACAGTAATAGCATTACAGTATTGTGTATTTAGTATATTTTGTTAATGTATTTATTAGTGTTTATGGAAAGATTTTTTATGTACAGTGAAGTAATATAATTTTAATATAACAAGGCTCTTTCCATAATTATATAAATTTAATTTCAATTGAATGGTTTAAATCTTGTCCATAAATGTACTGAATTAGCATTTTGACCTGTCATGATAAAAAAAAACTGGTCTAGGCATTTTAAGTTTATTCCATATGAAATCTATATTGAATTTTACACTGGATTTAAACAAATCCTATTTAAATGTAATGTGAGTTTTTAATGATTCAAAATTTTAATTATTCATAATTCACTGTCTGGGGACAGGAAGCCAGAGTGTATTCATAAACATTTGGCTTCTATCGAGGTAACCCCCAAGGCCCAATTACTGAGCCTGCCGAGGATGCAACCCCACAAGAAGCTAACTCCTGAATACCTACTCGCTGCTAGGTGAACAGATGCATTAGGTGAAAGGAAATGTGCCCAACCACTTGTCCTGCCCAGGACTCCAACCTGAAATTCTCGATTGTTCGTCGAACGAATCGGACTGTACTACCGGGACCCTATAATGTATGGTAATAGATTAAAGTCCTCCAGTTGACTGCAGTAAGTAAAAAAAAATAAAAAAAAAAAAATCTGCACTGTAGTCCACATGTATTAACAATAATGGCGATATAATTTAAATATTTACCCAGGAGTAAGCACATTTCGTAAATACTAAAATGCGAAAAGCATGTACAACTTGATCTGCTGTACAGTGTCCCATCTTGTGCTTTTGGAATTGTAACTATCAGAAGAGGATTGTGTACCCTCGTTTTCAGTGTACATAGTCTGGTCAGGGTTTTGTGTTTGTATGTGTAATTTCAATGTTCATTTTAATCTTTAAGACTGCTAAATGTACAGGAGTTTTGGAATTAGTACTTGTATATGGAGTGGATGCTGTATTACATTATATATGTGGAATATATATATATATATATATATGTTTATAAAGTTCTTAATCAGTAGATTGCTAAGCTTTCAACAGACTTTAAATACTGGACAAAACTGATATGTAGGCCATGTAATAGCTTGAAGCCTGGAAATTCAAATTTAATAATGTAATGCACAACTTATTATCTAACCCTTCATGAAATTTGCAGCTGTAAATGGTTGAGGTGTAAGCTGTTTTAGATTCTGTAAACATGTAATCATTTGAAGTTCTTGCAGTAACTTTAATTCCCAGCAATGTCCTTCCTGGTGGTGGTGGTTCTCGACTCTTAGTGAGTAAGGTTCCAGCATGGGTTGCAGCTTGGTGGTGGGTGAAGCTTTATTAAATAGTAGGTCTTGTAGTGTAACACTGATAATAGCTGGGACATTTATTGAGCATTTTAGAAGGAAACTGAACTCTTATAAAGTGTATACCCTGTAATTTTAAATGTGTATGTATATATGTGTTTATTTGCACTGCCCAGCAAAGGTTAAAGTTAGCCGGGCAGTGCCCGTGAGCGCTCCTTCACACTTCACTGTTTATACACTTTCCAATTTTCTGACCCTGTGTTCCTTGCTATGTCATTCATTTTAGTATCGAATTGTTGGCAATAGAATAGTTTGCATTTTAAAACACATCCCATAATAATCGGACAATAAATGGGTTTTTGACAATAGAATAATGCACATTTTAAAAAGTCCCATAATGAACTGACAATCAATGGAATTTTTACCAATATTTGTATTGTTTACGGCATTAATGTCCATTGCCGATCTACATGTATAGATTTAACCACTGAACTGCGCAGAGCGCCCTAAGATGCTCTGAGAATCTTTTTTTTTTTTTTTTAAATTAGGCTATACTTTAAATTTTTTAATGTTTTCATCAGTGTTTTGAAATGAAAATGGTTCAGTTTGGAAACAGTTGACAGTAACTAAAAACAACAAAAATGTCTTTGACAATTGCATTATGAAGTTTTTGCTGAAACCAGGTGCACAGTGCAGTGGTTAAGGACTGCGATAATGTTATCCCGAAGCTAAAATGTTAATATATTTCCTGAAAGAAAGGGAAGTGGGGGGGTGGAGGGAGGAGGATGATGGGATACCCACATGTGAGAAGAAGAGAAAATGGAAGGGAAGGGAGGCAGAGGACCAAGGTGATGGAGAATGAAGGGGGGGAGGGGAAGAAACTCATACAATTTTGTCCTTAATACATTTTCTAGAAGGGGAGGGGAAGAAGGTGGGCAGGAGCAATAGGATGCGGAGGGGGTCAAGGGAGAGTGGGAGGAGAGATGCGCCATCTTGGGCAATGACGGATATCATCCTTGTATACATGTATGCTGTATATAAATAATGCCTATCCAAGCTTAAACTGATAGCTTTGTAATGGATGCACTTGAATGTGGGAAAATGTATACCAGGTGAATTACAATAACTGTAGCTTCTTGCATGTTTTTAATTTTTTTTTATTTTTTTAAGGATGGAAGATTTGCATAAATATTTTAAAATTAGTAAATTTTTAAGAATGGTCATTGCTTAATAGAAATTGTTCCTATATATTGTTTGAACACTGCTTATTAATGCTACTCTACAGTTAAGGTGATGGATTTTTCAGGTATAAAAATAATAAAATACATACCCTTCATTGTAAGTGCCAGTTGTATTTAACTAGTGTTTTCACCAGATAAGTTTAATATTTTGCTTAACCAGTATGTATAGTTGTATTTCCATGATAAAAAATTGAAATAATTAAAACAAATAATTAATGTATATTGTATAATAAGTTATTCCATTGATAAAATATTCAATATTTTAGTTAATCATAATCCTGTTTACCAAATAGCAGCTGAAACTCTTAATAACCTTTAGGAAGCACAAAGTTTGGAGATGGCTCTAGTGAATATCTACGACACCTGTGAGCTGGAGAAGGGATGTTTTGGCTTTCCCCCAGGATGTGAAGCAAACAAAAAGTAAGTACAATAGAGAGCAAGTAGAAAACAAAGTTGTAATTGTTGGTAATGCCTCCACCTGTCTTTGCATACAAAGTAACCTTATTATTTTATTTTATTTATATACAAGAAGGTACACCATTGGGTTGAGAAAGTATATGCATCGAGTTTTAAGCATAACATGCTTGCAAAGCCACTAAAATGCAGTGTTTTGGGCAGGTCCTTAAGCTAAAGAATAAATGCAACAGAATTTGAGTTGAAACCTAATTAGCTGTACTACATTACAAATTGGTAGAATAGATTATATTGATGAAATTGAATGTCTTAAGAACTAAATTGGGTGGAAAACTGAGAAAGGTGGGGAAACTTTTTCTGCACAAGGTGGGAAAATTGAAACTGAAATTAGGTACTTTATTATACATTTGACTAAAGTATAGGTTACAGTTTTTGTAATTTATTAGGGAGTGAGTTAAATAGACTGGGTCCTCTTACTGGATTTGCATGGAGTGTTTGCACAGATTTAGTCTGACTAGGATTATCAAAGATACTTATTTCTGGTGTGGTGCTCATGGGTTCTATTGAATCTGTCAAGGAAGAGTTTCAGATCAGGATTACCATTTAGAAACGGTTTTCTACATGAAAATAGCACATAGTATGAAGTGTGTGTGCGCACGCATTTAGCACGTTTTAGGGATTAAATGGGCTGTGTTGTGAAAGAAGTTTTATATTTTTTGGTAGCAGATTTTTGCTGGTTGATGATTGGCTTGAGGTAATGGTTGAACCTCGTGTACATCTACTGTGGCATATGTTGGATATGGATTGAAGGGTGTTGCACTCACACTTATCAAATGCTGGCATTTGTGGAACAAAAATTGTCTAAAGCCTCCCATACAAGTATACCCATGCTACTTGGTACCAACACTATGGCCTACACCAGCATGGGTGCCAATAACACGGCTCTCTTGTGCTAGAGCTGTGTATGGCAGGAGATGAGGCTCTTCTACGTAGTACAGTATAGGCCTATCACGAACACCTGATGTCAAGGGCTCCCTGTCGTCTTTCTCCTCAGGCCTCGTGACATGGTGGCGTTTGCCTCGGTTATTCGAGGCAAAACCTCACCTAGTAACACCTCCATAACTGGTTACATTTGGTTCATCAATACTGCTTGTATCCGAGCCTGTGTTGCTGAATCCAGAAAACGAATTGTCACCTATACTATCGCTTAGTAGACGTCATATGGCACAGATGATGGTAATCTCACACGTGTGCAGTATTAAGTGTGTTTATAGCATTGTGTATAGTCTGTGATGGAGTATAGTGTGTAAATCAGTGGTAATCAGCTGTCAGAGTGTGGGAAAGTTATCGAGTCTAGAAACAATGTACGTCTTTCAGCATACTTCCTCCAGGAGGTAACACGTTAAAGTTGAGAAATTGGGTTTAACTGGGTTGGTCTGGGTGTTAAATTCACATTTGGGTCACTAAGTACTTAGCTGCCTCTTTATGTATTATGCATCATCAGTGCGTTGCTCAGAGCTGTAGAATAAGCTGACAAGTTAGCAGTGTGAAGCATCAGGTGCATCAGGCATCACACTAAAATAAAATCTATGAGAATTAAAATAAAAGCTAGGATACCAACTTACAAATGGCAAACTTTCATGCAATAATTGTCCTAGATGGATTTTTTTTCTCTCTCTCTCCTCCAGTTCTCAAAAGTTTGCTAATTTGTGAGGCTGGAGACTTCATATATGGTACCACCTATAATTTATTTGTGTAGCTGCAGAGATGGTGTAGGTGAAATTGGCAAGACATGCGAGAAGCAATGATGAAATAAATTTGCAGGTCAAAAGAGGATTAGTTGTAGGGAGCACTGAAAGGTGTGGCATAAACTACAGTGAAAGATTTGGCAATAGGTTGTGACAGACAAGTGGATGATTAGTTGGCAAGAGACAAGGCGAACCTCCAAGGTTAAGAAACAAGCTGCAGACGGGGCACAATATAATATGTAATTATGTACACACAAGAAGCAATGTATGGTACAGTAGTGGCTGTATAAACATAATATACATAACAGCATGAAAGATAAAGGATCACATAATGCTAGATATGTTTCCAAATTTATGTCCAGAATAGTCAGATAGGCTACTTAAATAAGTAGGACACGTTACTCTTCCTTGTAAACCATTTTCTTCTTATAGGTGTGACATGATGGTGACTTACTCTACAGTGTCATCCTCTGGATACAAGTTTGAAATTATGGGAACAATAAGTTCAGGATATGTGGCTTCTGGGCTTTCTGATGATGAACACATGGTGAGGACTACTAAATTTTGTTTTAACTCCTGTACCGAGTATTGCGACTTAAGGCGATCGATGGGTGGTGTGAAAAATTATTGAATTCAGCAATTCGTATTTAGTTTTTGAATGGTTTAATAATTTTTTTAACTTTGTGATTTGAAATGAAAATTGTTTAGCAGTAAAGTATTTGGATTTTTTTTTTTTTCCCAGAAAATATTCAATGTGGTCATTATTTTTGTTTTCTAGGGAAGAGATAGTGTTGTGGCTTGCAGAAATCTGAATGGCAAGATGGATGTTCTTATGGCATATAATACAGATGATCATAATGAATTCCTTGCTAACGTAAGTTTATTATGCAGTATCTTCACTTTGAGTACATGTTTATATAATTTTTTTTAAATATTATGGAATATTGTTCCTATTTTGAACCAGTCTAAAATAAATGTAGTAGTGGTAAGTTTCATTTGAAGATATAAAGTACAGAAGGTATTGTAGATTAATTTGAAACTACTGAAAATATTTAAATTTATTTTCTTTTTACTTTCGCTACTTTTCTATCCTTCACAGATGAGGCTTCTCCAATATTTGAGTTGGAAAACTGGGTAGTAGTAATAGTTGTATTAATGATAATCATAATAATAAAAAAGGTGGTGTGAGCTGCATATACTGTACAGGCAAGCATGCATGCATTACAGTCGCGAGATGGATGTGCATTACACGTTTGAGATTACAGTACTGTACTTGCATGCAACTTGTACACGTGTTTTTGTTGCTCGTGTGTGTGTGTGTGTGGTCCTCGGTCACTGAAGCAACTTTTATATTTGCAGGCGATGAGTCACAATAATGTGGCTGAAGTATGTTGACCAGACCACACACTAGAAGTTGAAGGGACGACCACGTTTCGGTCTATCCTGGACCATTCTCAAGTCGATTGAGAATGGTCCAGGACGGACCGAAACATCGTCGTCCCTTCAACTTCTAGTGTGTGGTCTGGTCAACTTTTATATTTGTAATTTTTTTTATTTTTTTGTGTGATATATTTAAATAAAATTTTGAATGTTTAAAATTAATTAAAAAAGAGATGTTTATCTAAGACCACCACCTGGGTCAGATCTGTGGATTAATGCTTAGTTACTGAACTGTTGGCAGTGGCATATCTAGGGTATGGCAGTTATGGTATGTGCCCTGGCTGCCACTTGAAGCCACTGCGCACTTTAATAGAAAGTCAGACAAGCTATCCTCGGATACTGCGGAAAATTCTTTTCTCGTGTATGATCTGTCTTTGATTATATAATTATATGTAGTTAGAAGGTTTATTTTCCATTATTTGCATATACAGTATTATTATTTTGCTTAGTTATTGTCAGTACAGTAGTGGTGCCTTAAGTTCAAAAAATTCGGCAAATTGTATGGCTTTGATGATGGACAGCAGCTACATGAAGAAATTTTGGATTGCAAAATGTTGCCAAGAAGTTGGGCAAACATGAAAATATAAAGACTTGATGAGCTTCTCGAATTTATTGTTCAGTATGGAGACGAGAGCATCTTCACATTTACTATTCGGATAATGCTAACCATCTCGGTTCCCATCACCAGCTGTGAGATATCATTCAGCAAATTAAGACTAATACTTTCATATTTGAAAGTGTCCATGGGTCAAGGCAGACTGTGATCTTGCTTTCCTAAGTGTAGAAAGAAAATCTGAAAAAACTTTGATCAAGTCATAGACCAATTTGTATCGGTGAAAGCAGAGAAGGTGCAGTTGTAATTTTCGTCATTATTTGTCAAAAGATTAAGGAACTGTTCTGGTATTTTGAGCCAATTTTATGGTAAAGTTATGAGAGATGGGGGTTTGGACAAGGAGCGCAATTTTAGTGCTTGCCATAGGGGCCATTTTCCCTAGATACACCACTGGCTGTTGGTAACTTGTCATAACAGAGTAATCGCCACCTCGGTGCTGATGGTTGGCCAAGTTTTTTTTTCTTCCCCCCCCCCCCCCCTCTTCCCTGTAATAGTTTTATCAAGAGTGACTAGTGATGAGCCACTTCACCATACATTTTGTTAGTCATACTTTACAATTTTTCTTAATTTTCATATATTTTTCCAATGTGAACTCTATTGGCCTTCCATACATCTGCATTAGGTCAAGATGTGTATGACTAGTTTGATCTTTTATAGTAATAGCATTCTTTTTATTAAAACTATTATGTTACCTATTACACAAGTGACACTAAACTTCTTAATTTTTCAGCCCAAGTATGGTATAAGTGATATAAAAACACTACAAGTTAATGGAAAGGTATATTGCACATTCGTCCGCCAGCCCAGGACAGAGATTAAGAATATTGTTTTTGACTTGGATAAAGATACCTTCCATTTGATGCTTGCTGCTGGTCCTGCTGAGGAAAGTTAGTACATTGTATCATTGTATTAATCTAAGGAATTTCAGATTACAGAGTATTGTTGGTGGTTTGAAGCCTTTGTTTTTGCTCACACACACACTCACACTTGAATCACACATCACATCACCCTGTTTCTATCTGGACCTAAAGAAGGCTTTTGACAGTGCCACACAAGCAGTTGTTTTGGAAACGAACATGCTGGAGGGTGACAGGGAGACAACTGACATGGATGAAAAATTTGCCGACACAGATGAGGGTGGTAATAAGAGGCAATGTATCTGGAGGAGTAATACTAGTGGAGTCCTGCAGGATTCAGTTCTTGCAACCAGTAATGTTCATCTACATAAATGATATTCCAGAAGGAATACAGAATTATGTGAACATGTTTGCAGATGATGCTAAGATACTGGGGAAGATAGTAGACGGAGGGGATTGGAATGCCCTTCAAGTGGATCAAATAAAATAAGTACTTGGAGTGACATGTGGCAAATGGAATTTAATATGAATAAATGTAATGTTATGGAATGTGGAATATGAGAAAATAGACAACACAACTTGTTCATTATGTGGAAAAGAATTAAAGAACTCTAATAAAGAATGAAATCTATGGGTAGTTTTGGATAGTAAACTGTCACCAGAGGAACACAAAGAACATTGTGTGAAGAGTGTATTCCTCACTAACAATTTCAGACTCACTTTTAACTACACGGTTGGTGAAATACTAAAGGAACTGCTCATGACTTTCGTGAGACCAAAATTGGAATATGCAGCAGTTGTATGGTGCCTATCTCAAGAAGCACATTAATAAACTGAAAAAGGTGCAAAGGCATGCTACAAAATGGCTTCCAGGATTGAAAAAAAAAGTTATGAGAAGAGGCTAGGAGCATTAAGGGGCCGGGAAATTAAAACGGTCAAAAATTTTTAACCTTGCTGAAACACCTTCAAATTTTCTGTGTGGTCTGTCTCACTCACTCATATTAGAGTAAGAATGTGTTTTGTTAGTTATACCCTAGGGTACGGCTTCCAATCCAGTGCCTTAGTCTCTGCACCTAGCTAAATATTGAAAACTGCCGAGCATCCCACTGACATCGGAGACCTTTTTCCAGTCCATTGTGCCACCAATGTGAACGAACTACCGGCGCATGGTCTCAACCGGACAGCATTCCAATAATTCCCTTTCAAATCACATCCCCAATTTATTTCTTTGTCTCGTTGAGTTCCTACATTCAACACTGATTTTTACAACATATTGTCCAGTCACCAATTGTACTTTAGACAATTTTTTTTGACTTCATTGATTTGCTGTTTATTATTTTCGAGGGAAACATTTTCACTGACACTGCACTACTCGTGTGCAGAATTAGCCACTGCACTGGCAACAATTTCAAACGTCTTTCCCTTTCAACTAATGGTTTCCACTGTTCACTGCCAAGTTATCAACACTATTATACTTGTTCTTTCCAAAATGGTTCCCTTCCTTTCAAGACAAGTTGATACAGTACTGAGTTTTATTAAAAATTTTGATACACATGGAAGGGAACACCACTAAGTTAACTATTTTTTTTCAGGCAAGTTGCGATACCATGATAATCGTATAGTATCATCGGGCACAGTCTCCATGCATACTTTTGCATCTGTTGGTGTTTCTAGTGAAATCTTCAAGACTCTTCATGCTTGCTTTATGATTGGTGCTTGGATTTGTGCTGCCTCTTGTGGTATTATCTTCGCACGCTACTACAAGACAACCTGGCTCTCGCATCGCAGCTGTGGCATTGATCAGTGGTTCCACGTAAGGAATTACTGTACTATGTTGCAGTAAATTAAATCTATAGTCACTTATTTGTCAAGCATTAATAGTAATATTTTGGTAATTATAAAATGTCAGATGCTGTATATTTAAGCAAAACAACTAGTAATGGTTTTAAGTTGAAGTTTGAATTGTAGTAAAAAGTGAGCTTAAAGGCAAACTTGTCAAAGAAATTTGATTTTAAATTTACATGCAGTTGAGTGTATCAGGAGAGCTAATCACAAAATATGTAGCGAGAGAGCTGCATGATATAGTAATTCTGTACAGTTTGTATATTTTTGGATGAGAGATGTCGATGTGGCATGAACATAGAAATAAATAAGTCATGTGTGGGACGGTTGGATATTAGCACAAAGAATGAAACTGGTGGATAGATATAACAAGTGCAATAATTGGTGAATTGCCTAATTTGGTGGAGTATCAAGATGGTTTGGTGAAGTTTAACTGATCGAGAATAATGTTGAATGAGGGTAGAAGAGGAAGATGGGTAGACATAAGTGTGAGAGAAAGTGTTGGTAGTGTATTTAAAGTGTACACAATGTAATGGAATATCAAGACTAGGTCAACAGCTTATGAAGAGGGAGTGAAGGTTGTTTGTGTGAACTACTCAGGAACTGTACCAAAAAATAAATATCCTACTTAAAAATGTTAATAGTACCTAAAGACAATTTCAATGTTTTTTTTCTATTGCAGCCACCATGCACCTGTTGCATATTCCAGTTTTGATCTCACTAAAGTCATGAACAGTTCTAGTATTTCATCATCCATGTAATTAAGTGATTCTGAAGTTGTAAAGCTCAGCAAATGCTCATATGGTTCTGGGTAGTCTACTATCCAGAACCACCCTTAGATCTTTCTTTGACTTAAGTCTTTTCCACATAATTTGAAAGCTGTGTGTGGTCTGTTTTCTCCTATTCCACATTAAAGTCCTAGAGTCTGAAGGAACCAAAGGGGTAGCATCACTGTAATACATAGTGACAAAAATACACAGTATGAAAAAGTGCAGTGTTTCTACACCAAGGTAGAATTGTACAAGAGTGGCAGGCGGAAATACAAATAATCCAAAGATTAAAAAAAAAAAAAAAAAAATTGGAATGCAACAAGGATAGTAAAGTGGAATGCACTGAAACTAGTACCGTTTTCATATCTTAAAGCAAAATGACAAACAAATAGAATGACGAGACATTTAAAGTCATCTGGTAGAAATGGTTTGGAGATGGGGCCAAAAAAATACTAATCTCGTTTCTTCCTGTAGACAATAAGCAAATTATCATAACAGCAGGTAATGAATATATTTTTTGAATGTCTAGATTCAGCTTATTTAAGTGCAGTACTCTATCATTTGTAAATACATACTTATTGCTGTGCTCATACTACCTTAAAGCAAGATGCTTTTAATGATATTTGATATTTGCATTGCAATTAATGCAAGGAAAATAGGTAAATTTACATAATTTTTTATGCACTTTTATGGTTGTTGGCAGTACATCACATTTTTAATAATTGTACATTTACTATGCAACAAAGCTTCCTTCAGATTGTACACTATCAAATAAGATTTTTCTTTACAGTTTCATCGTTTGTTTATGATGCTGACGTGGAGTCTCACAGTTGCAGGCTTCATTCTTATTGCGTACTACCTGAAGGGCTGGACCCGACATGACCCTAAAGAAAACCCTCATGCTATAATTGGTATTATTTCTGTAGGTAAGATTGATGTACAGTTAAATGATTTGAAAAGAGAATGTAAGTGAAATGCGGTACTGTTCTTGTTCCTTAAATAGTTTTGTAATTGTAAATGTTGAAAAGCAATTACAGTATATACAGTGTCAGTATATGGGTAGGAGTTGGGGATGGGCACCCAATGGGATAATCATAAGTACACTTGTCTCACATAGAAATGTGGAAGGTACATACTACTAAGGTGAAAGAAAAAAAGGATCAAACTGGAATGAGAACAGCTTTCCCTCTATAAGCGAAGAAAACAAATTGCAGAACATATCAAATGCTCCACTCTATTCCAAAAATTGCAAGGAAAGCTATGTAGAAAAATATAATTGATCGAGGTAAAGCTACAAGAATCGCATCAAATCGAGGAGAGGGGAAAGAAAGCGAAATGACATAAGTGAAATACTGTAGAGAAATCTGAAATGCTTTCTGTGCAAAAACACAACTACGTCCAGTGTTGGGCCTTTGCACAAGGGTGACTGAACTTTCACAACAAAGTGAGTGAAATGCTGAGGCTTCAGTACAATTGTTTTCAGTGAACCCCTGATCACTGAAGATTAATAATCCAAATAAATCCTTTATGAATGTAACACCAACATTGAATCAAATATCGGGTGTCCCCCTAGGTTCCTCTCGACTACCATGTTTGCCTTTTTCCATATAATTACTAAGATTCCTGTGAACAAGGATGTCTGGAATATTAATTGGAATAGAATGCTCAGCTTGGTTGCACATTCTTGCAGCACCCAAGGTAAAACTCCATTAGATCCAACCACTTTATTTCTTCCTAGCCCCTAGAGTAATTTTTCGCACTTCGTCTTGAGATACCTCTATGTATTTTATGGTTTGCTCTGGAAGGATTTCGTACTCTGCCTGCCTGCTTGCCTGCTTGCCTGCCTGCCCGCCTGCCTATTTCATCCCCTCTATGCTTATGCATTCATTCATTAGAGATAGGTAGGGGTATGTGTAATATAGTATTTAATGTGAAAATAAATTTTTCTATTGCAGGTCTCTGCTTTTTGCAACCATTCATCGCTCTCTGTCGCTGTGCACCTACTTCTAGAAATCGGCCCCTATTTAATTGGCTACATTGGTTCATTGGAAACTGTGCTCAGATACTTGGCATAACAGCAATCTTCTTTGGTTTTCCTCTGATTAATGGTCCAGAGTGGACAACATTCATCCTGATTATCTTCATTGCATTCCATTGCCTCATCCACCTCATCCTCTCGGTAAGTGAACCAGTTACTAAGGAGAATGTTTGTTGTTCGCCTTATTCTCTCATTTTCTGGCTCTTTTAATATTTAAGTATCAACTAATTCATAATTCACTTTAATAATTATTTGCAAAGGAATGTAAAATCTTACTTAACCCTAACCGATTTTTTTCAAATAAGTTGATACTTTTTATGAAAATGCATGGCATATGCTCGTTATAAATGCCTTTAGAAGTTCAGAAGTGAAAAACTAAAGAAAGTTCTGGGGATAACAATTCGTGCATAAATATCTGTAATTGAGTATCAATCGACCAATTGAAGCTACTGTGTATTTCAGCAGCTTGCATATAAAACTGAGTTAGAAATTGTTGTAATGTTCCTTTCAAATTACTAAAATGATAATCCCATAGATTGGACAGTGTGTAAGTGACTCGAAGGCGGAGCGCATGAGTAACGTATACCCAATGAAGGAGATGAATGGTAGTCGTAATCCTCTTCACCCAACAGAAAAAAGGACAGATGCTCCGGTAAGTATTGCTAATTTAGTCAGTTAATTTTTACTATTCTATGAAGAGTAAGTTTGCAAAGTTCACTTTGCATATGCAGTTGAACTTTCCTTTCTTTAATTCATTACTAGTCCATTAAATTATCCGCTGGTGATAGTGTGGTAGTACAGTTGGCTTTGTTCTCGACTCTGAATTGGGAATCTTGGTTCAGTTTCCTGGTGGAACAAAAATGGTTGGGCACATTTGTTCACTTAATGCCTCCGTTCACCTTCCAGTAAAAAAAAGGTACCCGGCAGTTAGACAACTGTTACGGTTGCATCCTGGGGATCCTCGGTAGTTTGACCTTGAGGGGAACTTTGATACAAGCCTTAAGTATACATATTTTGTTATCTCACAGGCTTCCTGTTCCTGACAAAACCAATCATTATGTATGTAACTGAAATTGGTATTGGCTTAGTATAATGGCTAGTTTCTAGTTAGGAGAGAAATTCTGCCATGAGCTTGGTAAACCCGTTATTTTTGTGCTGATAATAAGTTTACAAGACTTTAAATTACTAATTATGTTAAAGGCTCACTATAAGGGGTTTGGACTATTAATTCTACCAATGTCTGCAGAATAATAATCTAAGCAGTTGGTAGACCTTGTTTGTGATAAAGTTCGTACAGTTTCTCCGTGTGGCTGCCCTACATTTACACCAAATCATTAATTATATAATACCAATACATAAAGTACAGGTACTCAATCTCTTATGGTTGTTTATGTATTTTTTAAACTTAATTTTTTTCCCTAATTTTAATTCTTAATTTTTTTTTTAACTAATATGTTTAATAAATGGTTAGATGCTGAAAAAATTTGGGATCTGGACACTCTTAAAAATGTGTGCCACACTAACCTTGGAATGCTTTCATTACAAATGGTGTCACCTGGGGGAGGGACAAGAGCAGAGTACATTTATAATCATTACACCTTCCTATGTCATTGGCTAATGTCTACATGCCAAGGTATTAGGCATAAATCAGTCTCGGGAGACCAGTGTTGCGCTCTGGTTGTCGGTCTGGAGTGGCCTCTCCAGGGCGCAAAGCCAGGGTAGGTAAGCTAGGGTATTTTACAACATTCTTAGTAAAATAGCAATTGGTCTTTGAATATTTTTAACATGGCTCCTTGATAAGTTGTTGGCTAGTGATCCCGGTACGTTGTTAACCTACGCCAACGATAACTTGATTCACAAGACTTTTGTACCAGACATTTAATTCTTTTTTAATGTACTGTATTATTGTTTATTTACTATAAATTGTAATTGGTATTTCTATAGGTGACTTGGCTATACTGTACCTTGTATACCGTACCTACCTTGATTATCTTGACGAGTTCACACCTCTGGATAACACACTTCAGATAATCAAATTTATGCCCTTAATTTTTCTAACACTGCGTGAATTTCATAGCAAACTTTTTATTTCAATCTATCATATCATGAACATCTTCCAGCTGCTCTAACCCTTATCCCAAGTAATAACCAGGATCCAGCCCTTAAAGCTTGTTTTGCTATGGTAGGTGGTAGGGCTGTGGCAGCTCTAATGGTAAATGAAACGTGTTCATTGACTTTTCCACAACCTAAAGCTTTTATTTGGCTCAAGATTTTCTATGGAATATCCTGAATCTGTTACAGTAACAGTGATATATCTCTAACCATATTCAGATTAAAATTTTGGCCAAATCCATAGACCAAAATGCATCTCTCCACAGAATGATACTTGTCAAAGCTTGCCATTTCCCAAATTAAACTAGCTATAAAATTTCTTCCAAAATGGACACATTAACTTTCCCAAACCCTAAGCTGTTATTCTTTGAAATGATTTTTAAATTTGAAATATCAAAATAGTATTTAACCCTTAGACAGCAGCTATGTGAAAAATGGTCATACTTGCCTATGCAAAAAAAAAAAAAATATAGAATTATAAATTTGTATGCAGATGTAAGAAAAACATAAAAATAAGTGAATATTTATTGTTTCACTGGGTGGAGGTGCTGTTGAAGGGTATGTGGTGAAAGTCTGGCACCTGTCAACACCCAGTGCCCGACTCTGCTGATGCTCAGTGCGTTATCCTTGGATGAAACACAATTGTTTGAATAATACATGTTTCAATTGATGATTGGTTTACCTGGTATTCTTCATTACAACCATAGAGTAGTGAAAAGGATATGAACATAATATACAATGGTGTTGGGCTCTGGGTGAATAAATATGGCATACTTGGCACCATATGGGCAAGAGTATAGATAGAAAGGTGTAAGTCACCAATGTGGCACACACTGGTGTGTGCATACATACATACCACTTATACAGACCAATCCTGGAGTATACAGTTCCAGCCTGGAAACCATACCAAGTTAAAAAAGAAAAAAAAAAGAAAAAAAAAGTTAGATAAGATTCAGAGGTATGCCACCAAACTGGTCCAGAACAGAGAGGTATGAGTTACGAGGAAAGGCTACGGGAGGTAAACCTCACATCCTCTGGAAGGCAGAAGAGCAAGGAGACACATGATCACGCCTACAAAATTCTCAGAGGAATTGACAGGATGGACAAAGACGAACTATTTAGCATGGGTGGAACACGAACAAGGGGACGCAAGTAGAAACCGAGTACCCAAATGAGCCACAGAGATGTTATAAAGAATTTGTTCAGTGTCAGAGTAATTAACAAATGGAATGCATTAGGCAGTGATGTGGTGGAAGCAGACTCCATACACAGTTTCAAATGTAGATTTGATGGAACCCAATAGGCTCCAAAATCTTTACCAGTTGATTGACAGCCGAGAGGCAGGACCAAAGAGCCAAAGTTCAACCCCCGCAAGCACAACTAGGCGAGTACACATGACGACAGGCTCCTCCTAGCACATATAACGTAAATGGTAGGAATATTTTCATGGGTTAAGGTAAATTCCATTACATCCACATAGCTATTATATCCATATTTGCATCATGCATGCAAAACCCAGACAATATTGTACTGTAATTGTTTAAGTCATCATATGACGATAACTGCATTACCCTGTGAATCAATGAAAGACGGAAACTGCTGTCCAAGGGTTAAGGGAAGATCAGTCAACATTCAAAATGCTGCACTCAAAAGGAACATTAGTTGTATCATTTTTCAAATAATGCAATTCCCCCCCCCCCTCCCCCACCACAAAACACTTGATAAAGCTTACTTATGAAATATATTGAACCTGTTCCAATTAATAGTTGGAGATAAGGTTTCATAACCATTATTCACCAATCGTGCTTATCCCAAGCAGGTTCCACAGATTAAATTTTTTTTCAAGATTTCAATTAATACACATCTTTGTCTAAGTTTCAACCTTAATTTATTTCAGGGAGGTGGATTCCGCAAGGCAATGCTGGCTTTATATTTCCTTGTCAACTGGGTGATTACTGCAGTACTAATCATTATTGTTATTGCTGGTGAGAAAACTCTGAAGGAATGGGGAATAATTTTTTGGGAAAAGTAAGGTGATGTCATTACTTAACTGTAATTAGCCGAGTGACAATATAGTGCTGTATTCCCATGAAATCTACCATTCTTATGTATGTAATCTAGAATATGTAACTGTGCAATGTCTAAAATATGAAAATTTTTAACTATTTTTGAAATCTTGTGGAATGGCAATACAAACTGAACAATAGGCAACAGTATTAGATTAACTAGAAAAATACTATCATAAGTTTTTTAATTTACTTAATTTATTGTGAATGGAACTATTAAGACTGTACTTTTGTGGATATGCTTTAGTGAGGTCTGATGTAATATGAAGTCCATAAAAAAAAGAATTTAATATAAATGTTTCATATTTTTGCACATAATGCAATAAAATTCTAAAAATACAAGAAGTTCAGTGAAATTTAAATTGCATAAATAAATGCTGGAGTATTTTCAGAAATCAAAATATTAATGAAGTATGTGGTGTGTAATAGAGTATATGCCAGTGTTGTCCAGGTATAGGTTAGAAGCACAAAGCTCTTGGTCACATTGTTCAATAAGTTGTATACTTGTTTAACACTGATCTTGTTTATATATATATTTTTTCTCTCCTCCAAAGTATTTGGTTGGAGTATAGAGATTATATGATGGTGAAAATGTAAGGTCAGATACCGTACAAGACACTATATATTTTTCTGTATTAATATGCTTTAAAGCAGAAACTTGAAGTGTTCAGTTATTATTAGGGAAAGAATGATGTGTGAATGTACTGTACATGCCTGTGAATGTGTGCTTTAATAAACAAAATTTGTTTTTGATGAACATGATCCTGTTTCTCCATGTCTTTTCCTTCCACTTTGCAGAAATCTTGCCATTGTAAAATGTTCATCAAATACTGCAAAGGTAAAGCCATAAATAATGCTAGAAATGTTTGACGATGTTTTGAGGATTGGCTTGAACAAGTTTTTCATTAACAAAATACTGTATAGAAAAGAAAAATTAGTGTATCAGAAAATAGAGATGATGATATGGAGCATTTAAAAACAAAAATGGAACCAGATCAGTGTCATGTGAGAGTAACTGTGTGTGGTATTTTGCAGAACACTGCAGTCAGTCAGTCAGTCAGTCAGTCAGTCAGTCCTCTGTACAATAAATGTGTTCCATGGCAGTGCTTCCATGGACAGTTGGTAACAACTCTTCACATTTTGGCCGTGAAGCCTACTATACAAATGTATAATCATTTACATAAATGAAGCAGTCTTGAAAGATTTTATAAAAGGTTGTGTGTGTGTGTGTGTGTGTGTTTGTTTTACCAGTAAACGACATTATCTATTTTTAACTAAGATTAATGTTTATCTTAAGTTTCACTTATTGTACCATCATTATTTTACGAAAGACTATATCACTTTTAGTATACTCTGTAAATAATTAATATAATTTTAAAAATAAATTAACATTTTCTTATAGTATTTATTTTCATGGTGTGTTGTATGCAACAATTATTGGCAAAATTAACTATCTAGGACATTTTGAACTACTTACATTGCACTTCGTATCCAAAGGCTGTTATTTTGCTGGTTGTAGCATGTAATAAATAAATATATGTTCTTTACTTAGGTCTGTTCTGTCCTATAATGCAGATGCCTAGTATTACTTGGCTTGATGGTACCAATCTGTTCTTTCCAAGGCTGAAACTTCTGATTACTTCCGAACATGGCTGTCACTCCTTTTAGATACCTCAATTTAGTCTTTGCTTTGTCTATTCTTTTGTACTCTAATTATTTTTACAATCGAGCGCACATACTTTAAATACATTTCTTAAGCATTAATGAGGCATTTTTTCAGGCTACATAAACTGTTCTGTGACAAAAATCAAACTACAGTATCATTATTTATGTTTAACCACTTTCATGAGGTGGAGAGGTATTGACCCGAGGAAAAACAAAGGAATAATATATGTAGGTACCAAATAATATTAAAACTTCATTTCAGAGTCATTTCTAGCACATGTTACATTATGTAAAACAAATGCCACCAACACCAGCAGTTAATGTAATCCAAAGTGGCACCCCACCGTTTATTATGACTAGAGCGCCTTGTGAGGTATACTGACAAACATCTCAAACTTCTACCACAGAGCTATGTTCCTTACCACATTCTATGTATTGTTCATATTTGATCCCTGCTTATTCTCACTTAACATGTGAACCCACTTATTTTTGACCTTCCTCCTTTCCTACTCTAAAATGCACTTTGTATCTTTCAATTCCCTTTATACCTCACTAACATGATGCTTTTCATTATCTCTATTCTGCACTCGTTTTTCTTGTCTACTAGCATCTTGCATCTTTAATATATATATTTAGGCAATAACACCCCTTTATGCCCTCCAATTATTACCGCCAGTGGTAATCTGTGCACCCTACACTTCCTATGAGCGATGGCACGCAAAGTGCCATCACAAATCACCCTTTGGTGGATATTTGATAATAGCTTTTAAAATTCTTATTTTCTATCATGTTCTTTGTAACAACTAGGCTCCTTCCCAAACTTGCAAATTAAATGAATTCACTAAAAATGGTGAAACAATATATGTAACTCTCAACCAGGTTATACACCATTGTGTAGGTTAGTAACTACAGTAGTGACAAGTGAAGTTAGAGGGCCTCGACATGCCTACAAATATAAATAAATAAATAAATATCTATATATCTATATATATATATATATATTTATCTATCTCCAAAGTATTAAGTAATCAGTTACTTCTGGATTGTTCTGTTCATACAGACTAAACACATTTCAACTCTACTATAATCTACCTACTTGTTTTTCCACATTTTGTAGGCATTTTCTAAAGCATCAATAAATCTCTTAACAAATCTACATTTATATATTATTAGCTATAATAACTGCATCATGTGTGTGCATTGAATTTTACAACGTGCACTTAACCTTCAAAATTCGGTTATCACGTGTTCATTCACAGAGTAATGCAGTTATTGTACATTGATTTTAACTATTATCAGAGTTTTATACCAATGATGCTAATATGGATATGTCTATATGGATGTAGTGGAGTTTAACTTGGCCCATGAAAAAATTACCCATTTTGTGATTACTATAACAATGCAGTAACCATTGCATAAAATTCAATTGTAATTACATATGTATTCTGATTGTTCTTGGTTAAAAAAAAAAGTGTAACAAAGTATGCCAGGTCAATCATTATTTGAATACAATAAAGGGACTACAAAAGGCCTTTTGGCCCATACAAGGCAGCTCTTGTTTATACCCACCCAAACTCGTTCTCATATGAGCACATAGGCCCATATATGGATATATATAGCTGCTGCTTCATATGGACCAATAGGTCTCCTGTTATTTCCCTTAATTCATATAGATTCATTGAGCTATATAAAATGTCCTTGTACAGTGACACCTCGGCGTACAAATGCCCCTCTTTGGGAACTTCTCAGGTTATGAGCCCAATTTCTCAAAATCTGAATCGGGTATGAACTTTACCTCGGGTAACGTAGTTTGTTGATACGCGTATGGCCGACCTAGCGTGTGGTGGCACAGCGACCGCACCACAGTTTGTGCACCTGAATTCTTTGTAAAGAATTTATATTTTTCGGATTTTGGGGTATTTAAACACAGAAGTAATTATATATCTCGGCATTGGTCCCAAGAAAATCGGTGGCAAGATTCAACCTAAGAAAATAGTTAAGTAGAGGATGTCCCTTCCTCGTTAAGAAAATGTGATAAGTATGGTAAGAACTGCAAAATTTTGTTGAAAAAACTCGCCCAGATAAAGCTGTGGCAGGCCATTGCATTGACCTTTTAAATGAGTGATCTACAGACAAGCGTAAAAATGTTGGGAAAAAACAAGTCTTTAAACAAATTCTTAGTAAAATGCAAGAAGTGAACCACAACCAGGTCCTAGTGGTACTCTTGCTAAACATAAACAAGAGAGTACCCAAGGGAAGTCATCACTGCCTGATGTTATAATAAAAGGGAAACTCCCAAACACTAACGCCTCTCCTCCTCGCCATCTTCCATACGCCAACAAGAATCGTCAATAAAGGTAAGCAATAACTTGTACATACTTTAGTACTAAAGATTTGTGTGAATTGGGTACAAAATTTACTTTGAAGTTAATATTTTTGGGGAGTGTGGAACGGATTAATTCAATTTACATTGCATTATTTCTTATGGGACAATTCGCTTCGGTATACGAACAGTCTCTGGGAAGGGATTAAATTCGTACGCTGAGATACCACTGTAGTTAGTAATACACTCAATCCATTTTCTCTTTATTTTAATTACATGTACATAAAATTTGTTGTTAAACACATTTTATAGCAAAATGAATCATTAATTTTACGAACACGAACTAGTGGCATAGACTTGAAAGGAAGGGCTTACCGACTCCTTGGGGTCATTTGTCTCGCGATACAATCCTTTATGAATCAAATACATTTGATATCTTATGTCCTTTTGTTCTCGTATTGACATACTTCGTAACATTTAACACCTATTAAGTATCCAGTGACACAGATGGTGCTACATAGTTTTCCCTGCTTGGCACCTTCTATGGAAAATTACTTATGCAGTACTTTCAAGTGTGTAGTAAGTCTTCCTGGTGTGAAGTCTTATCAAATAGTGTGCCTTTATTAGATAATTCCTTGCTATGAAATATGAGTATGCAATGATTAATATTTTTGCAAAGGTACGTCATAGTTTCATTTGAAGTTGCATCACGTGTGTTATTAGTTACCACAGTCTAATAAATACACAAGATATGGGAAAAGCAACGCCCAAATTCCATGTGGCCTGACTGACATGGGCCCAGCACTGCCACTGGTTGTCATGACAATCACCTTCTTGATGGCATATGGCTGGTATGACATGTCCAGAAACTGATAGTCTGCGGCAAATCCTGTCCCACTGAACTTGCTGTTACTCCTGAACGTGAGCCGGAAGAAGGTGCCATCACTTTGGATGATGGAGGGAGAGAGACTGCCACAGTAGGATGGGATTTTGCGATCCACACTTGGGAAGTTTGAGAACTCAAGGTAATCGCTGTCAGTTGCTTCGTTGCATCTGCGAAGTTTTATATTGCAATTAATACACTGGTAAGCATCATTACAGCAGTAAACTATTGTCACTGATCTCTTGTATGAAAATACAGTAGCTGAAAACTAATTAGACAAGTATATCTAAATGTAGATTCTGTTACAAAGGCACGTAAGGAATCAAAATATATATTGATATGATGGCTTGATTTGGATTTTAAATATATTTTAGCACCACTGGAATGCACATTATACCTCTTATTTATTTAATAAAGGCAACTTTCCATGACAATTTGTAGTTTTATGATGGTTGAAGGAAAATTCTACAACTCGTGCGACCATGAAACAAATATACACGTGTTTTAAATAGTGAATATTTGTTATAGTGAATATCGGTTATGTACTGTACTTGTAAACTCAAAAATACTGACGGCATGACTCCTTCCACGTCGAAATACTTAAAAGTGAGTCGGACGACCTGACCGGGGTGACCGTAGAAGAGGTAGGTACAGGTGGTGTCTTGTGGGTAGTACCCCTCAGGGTTTGGGGAGTAGAGTGTGCCATTGTGGGTGTGGCTGCTGTTGTACACAAACTGACACACCCCAGGCACTGGTTGTTGCCCACCTTCCACCCCAAGATCTGTATAGAAACGGAGTTTTGAGTTAAAAACTGCAGTTCATAAAACGTCCTATAGCTGGGTTGAGTTATTACCGAGAAAGGGAAGTTAGCTATGTTCAAAGGGTAAAGCTCTTCATGCACTAATCACACTACAATAAATACAGTGGGGCCTCGACTTACGAATTTAATCCATTCCCAGAGACGGGTCTAAAATTTGTAAGTCGAAACTAATTTTCCCATAAGAAAATGTAAATTGAATTAATCCGTTCCACACCTCCAAAAATATTAACTTAAAAATACATTTTATACCGAATACAATTTTTTTTTTCTAGCTACAATACAGTATATTTATCTTGTCTTTATTGAGGACTCTTGTTGGCATATGGAAGACGATGAGGAGGTGGAGAAGGAGAGGTATTACTGTTTGGAAGGGGAGTTCCCTTCCATTATAACAATTGGCAGTGATGACTTCTCTGGGGGTACACACACGCTCCTATGTTTTGCCTGCATACTACTAGGACCTGGTTGTGGTTCACTGCTTGTTTGTCTCACTAAAAACCTTTCAATAGAGATTTGTTTTTTCCATACATTTTAATTTTTGTCTGTAGTGAGGCATAAGTTTTATTAAAACGTTTAAGGCAACAGCCTACTGCACCATGATTTGGGAGAGTTGTTTCAGCAAAAGTTTGCAGTTCTCTCCATGCTGCACACATTTTCTTAATGAGGAAGGGACATTCTTTTTCTGCCTCCTTCTCCCCTGAAGAAATTTCCTCAGCTGTCTCTTGTTGCTGCTCCTTGTGAAGTTCTTCGGTGGTCAGTTCTTCACTGTTTTCCTCCTCCAACTAACAACACACAACTCTCATAACACTATGCCACTTCTTTTTCTAAATTTCTCAACCCATCACCCTGCTAGCCTTAAACTCTCCCATCTACATCCCTCGTTCCAGAGGATGTTCTTTATAACATCTTTGTGCAATTTCCTTGCTTTTTCACAATTGATGGCCTCTGAAATGCTATCACCTGCTAATGTCTTGCTTTTGGGGCTTAGCGTACCCATGACCTGGTCCTCAACCAGGCCTCCTCTTTGTTACACAACCCCAGGAAGCAGCCTGTAGGAACTGTCTAACTCCCAGTTACCTATTTACTGCTAGGTGAACAAGGACATCAGGGTGAAAGAAACTGAACATTTGTCTCCTCCTCCACCGGGAATTGAACCTGGAACCTCAGGACTAAGAACCCTGAGCGCTGTCCACTCAGCTGTCAGGCCCCTAGTGGCTGGGTGACTGTTTTTCTTACAATTTCATCAAATTCTGTATTGCTGTAATTATAGTTCACAGTAATTTGGTGGATTCGTTAAAGTTCATGGTACAAGAGGTGTGGAGATGAGCATGTACGTATTGCATGACCTACGTATGCACTGATGACACTTCTTATACCTGTCAGTGCATTCATGCTTACCGTTCATACATTTTCCGGCATCAGTTGGTTTAACAATACATGTCGGATGAAACTACCAGAATTGCTATCCATTAGGACTAAATGAATTGTGGGGTTCAGTCCCTAAGCCCATTATGTGCCTCTGTAACCCATTCCACTGCCACCCACAAGATGGGTATGGGGTGCATTATAAATGAACTATACTAACTTAAGAACATAGAGGAATGGAATCTTGGCACCTACATTTTTCTTAACAGTGAACCTCAAGCCCAAAATGTTTTGAACCTTGCCACAAAGCATATTCAACTTATCGTTGTCGATACATACAAATGTGTCGTTGACATATCTACAGTTTAGGATTCGGCCCTTTCATCTGAAGGGTGGACGAATCAACATTAGACATAAATGTCTGGACGAGCAAGACCCTCAATTGAAAAGTGTTTGGAGGTTTAATTCAAAAACAGGAAGAGCAAAACTATTCCAGAAAAGTTTGAACATAAGCCATTGTGAGTCATGGTTAAAGTAAATTATCGAGCATTTGGCCATTGCTGAGGCAGCTCGGCCTCGTCAACAAAGGCCAGATATTTATTCCATGCAGTCACTAAACCACTTGTATGTAGTGTTTTCATTCATAAACAACTTAATAGATGATATTTAATCATTTCTCAAACAGTGCTTCGCTGACGATCTCTGTTCGACTAGCAACTTTGTAAATGCCTCACCCCAGGTAATAAAAATAAATAATTGCCAATAGAGCCTAAAAACTTTACCTAACTTAGGTTAAATGTCTAAATATGCACAATATGCAAATATATATTAACATTTAAAAAAAAAACTATTTTGAATGAACAGCATGTTAAAATTGATGAATGCATCTTTGGGGGTAAGCTACTGGATGGAATGAACATAGCCTTAGGACAAATTGTATTTAAGATGGCCTGTGAGATAACCAATGTTAGGCTGGAAGACCTAACCCAAATTCTTACTTGTGACAAATTTGAATTTTGCGGAGAATCCATGCTGTGTTGGTAAGGATGTCACGGCTGCTAGTGACCTCTCTCTGGTGGTAAACACCACCTGAAAGCCTGTCAGGAATGACAGGGAGAGAGACATACAAACATTAATATTTATGGTTCAAGTATAGAAAGTAATGTATTTATGCTGTACTGCATGAACAATAGACTAGCTGCATTTGGGATGGAGTTCAGTTCATGGCTCCGCCTCTTAACCCTCTAATGTCAGATTTATAGTTGGTTACACAAATCTAAGTGAATAAGAATACTGTACAAGAAACAGAAGGACTGAAGTAATGAATTCTATCACTTCTACTTTTGTCTGCCTCTTCGACCTTGCCCAGCTTATTCCTTCACGATACTTTCAGTAAAAAAATTTCTTCCAAATATTGTGGAGGACATGACTGGCAGGGGATGGTACCTGAGGTGGAGGACATGACTGGCAGGGGATGGTACCTGAGGTGGAGGACATGACTGGCAGGGGATGGTACCTGAGGTGGAGGACATGACTGGCAGGGGATGGTACCTGAGGTGGAGGACATGACTGGCAGGGGGACAGTGAGGCCACAGAAGGTATCCACCTCCTGGAGGTCGGACTTAGTGTTGCCCACCAGGTTGTACACAGCCACAGAGTCCGTATGAAGACACCTGCAACACAACAAAAGTTACATTGGCCTCATGTAGTAAATTGTTCAAGCACTGCATGGTCAACCATCTCTTATTGGGCCTATCCGGCTCCCAGGTGTTGGTGTGTTGCGGGTTTTATTTAAATTGGATTATGATTTTGGTGTCTTAGTCACTCCTTGGGGTAAACGTTTTGAAAATAAAGGTAGCTATAAATTGTACAAGTACAGTATAGGAATTGCCGAGTTACTCGTGTGGATGCATCCAGGCACAACTCCTCACCTCTCATGAGGGTTGAGATGAAGCGGTGGCTCCCTGAGGGCAAAGGCGGTGAAGAGGAGCTGGACCCGCTGGTGTTGGGAGCCCCTGAAGGTATAGGTGCAGGTGGTGGGCACCCGGTAGATGCCAAAGGAATCAGGTGAGGCAATCACCCCCTCGCTAGCCTCCTCGCTTGTAATGGTCTCGTTGCATCGCCCTGAGGAAGGGGAATCAAAAGTTTGATGCACTTATGGTTAAACAAAATCACTTCCTTTTAGATGCTTGCCAAAGCATTACAGTAGTGTGGACTGCTGCAGAATCTTGGTGAACAGTTTGTAGAGTACAATCTTGAATGATTTTGTTGTTAATTATGTAATTATGCCTCTTGAACATACATAGGCTACTATTATGATGTTATTACACCTGTTGAACATATATGACTTTTATTTTAATGTTTTTACACCTGGCTAACATACTCTGTGGCTATGATTATTATGTTATTGCACCTGTCGGACATATATGGTTACCATTGTTACGTATATACATCTGTCGGATGTGCATAGGCTACTTTCCTGAAATATGATACTTAAATTTTCCTCATTCATCATCCATGAGACTATTCTCCTCCATAACTCCGAGGAGTCCTATCCTTTTTCTTGGCCCCTCAGCCAACGAGGAGCATGTTGTTTTCGTCACGAACCTGTAACAATGTTATAGGTTCATCCATGTTTGAATTACCCACTAATGTTTATACCACTCACCCATGCTTGTACTACTCAACCATGTTTGTAACATGCACCAATATTTGCATCATCCATCAATGTTTGTCCCACCCACCCATGTTTGTACCACATGCTCATCTTTATCACACCCATGTTTGTACCACATGCTCATCTTTATCACACATGTTTGTACCACATGCTCATGTTTGTACTACCCTCTAATATTTGTCCCACCCACCCACCTATGTTTGTACCATCCATCTATATTTGTACCACCCCAGACATGTTTGAATTATCCACAGGTTTTCACACCTCAGCCGTGTTTGTACCATCCATCTATATTTGTACCACCCCAGACATGTTTGAATTATCCACAGGTTTTCACACCTCAGCCGTGTTTGTACCACTCGACATTGTTTGTTCCACACACCTACGTTATCACACACCCATGTTTGGACCACCTACCTATATTTCTACTACTCAACCATGTTTTTACCACCCGCTCATGTTGATGAAGCGAAATGCACTATAATGTGAGATACTGGCCATATATCCCTACTTACTGTGAAGAGTTCATTGTCAAGCTATTTTTTGTGTGTAATAATTTTCCACATGTGACTCCACCATCATGTTGACCAGTCGCTCAACACACTGGTCACGGCTGACAAATGTAACCAAATTGGTGACAATGGTTGATGACAGTTTAGTAGAGCAAGTCTGCATCCCTTCTGATTGATATTTTCATTTATTTAAACTATCATTAATTCTGCAGGAGATTCACGTATAATAATTTTTTTATCAAAGTTATCTGGGGTATTTTAAGTAAATATATATACAGATTTAATATATTTATACTGTAATTAAAATTTGCAGCAAAAGGCAAAATAAACAAATAAGCATTAGGCATTAAGTTTCAAAAACTACTTTCTAAGCTGTGTACTTCTCTAATCTTATTAGAATAACTGGAAAAAATTCTTTGGCCTTGAATCCCATTCTGGGCAACCAACCCTTGGCAACTCTGTGTTTTACGTGATCCTTGACAATAGTGCTTGCAAAACCTGTACATTGGGCCTATGTACATGACTTACGTGGTATTAGGTTTGTGATTTGAGATGAGACAACGAGGAAGGCCGTTACCAGGACCAAGGCTGAAGTGATCTTCATCCTCACCACTGATCCAGCCACCAGCCAAAGTCTGTTTCCATCCTCACCGAGCTGGAGTCCTTTGGCTTGTCACTCTAACCCACTGATGCTGAAGGGATTAGGGCCAGTGAGCTTGGTGGATCTTAGAATGTTGCAAGTCAAGGACCATGGAACAGTAAGCTTGGTGAAGTACAGAACAGACATCAACAAACTCTGCATCCACTGTCAGGTGCCTGAAACAATCGAACACTATCTCCTTCACTGCTTCCGATATCATAGTGCCAGAGTAAATTTCAAACAAGTATTTATTGCACTTAAAATACCCTTTACCATCGAGCATATATTAGGAGGAGGTGACCACTCGTTATAGGAAAAATACCAAATAGTCAAAGCACTGGCTAAATATCTCCAGTTGACCAACAAATTGGATCACATCTGACCCGTGCCACATTTATACCTGGCGCCATCAACAGTTAAACAGAAAACAAATGCCTCGTCGCAACACCATAGATCAGCTGATTAAACACAACATACCACCCTACGGTGCAGCAAGTCTCACTCTAACATACACCTCCGTTTTAGTCGCCGCTCCTCTATCTACAGCACAACGCTACAAGCCCTTTTGAAACTTATCCTCCTCAACATAAATGCATCTCCTAACATCTGTACTGGTGCAGTCATCGGGAGGACAAACCCTTCATGCAAACCGCACCTACTATCAAGAAGAAGAAGAGCTTGGTGAATCTTGGAGTTGGGCCACAAAATAGCGAGCTTGGTGGATCTTTGAACGTTGCACGTGGTGGGCCCCAGAACAGTAAGCTTGGTTGATCTTGGAACGTTGCACGTGGTGGGCCACGGAACAGTGAACTTGGTGGATTTTGGAACGTTTCACGTGGTGGGCCAAGGAATGGTGAGTTTGGTGGGTTTTGGAACTTTGCACATGGTGGGCCACAGAACAGTGAGCTTCTGTGTGGGTGCTGTGCTAATTGTATACAATGTCCATGGGGGCATGTATACTAATTGTATACAATTGTAATGTATAATTGTATACATTATAATAGTATTCATTATAAAAGTATACAATTATAATGTATACAAATTGTATACCACCCTAATTGTATACATATCCTTGGGGCGATGTGCTAATTGTATGCATGGCCATGGGGTGCTGTGCAAATGGGCAGAGTTTCTTTCACCCTAATGCCCCTGTTACCTAGCAGGAAAATAGGTATCTGGGAGTTAGACAGCTGCTACGAGCTGCTTCCTGGGGGTGTGTAACAAAAAGGAGGCCTGGTCGAGGACCGGGCTATGGGTGGGACACTAAGACCCAAAATCATATCAAGATAACCTCAAGATGTCCATGGGATGCTGTGCTAATTGTATACATGGCCATGGGACACTACTAATTGTATAGATGTCTAAGGGGTACTGTGATAATTGTATGCATGTCCATGGGGTGCTGTGCTAATTGTATGCATGTCCACGGGGCAATGTGCTTAGTGTATGCATGCCCATGGGGGTGCTGTGCTAATTGTATACATATCCATGGGGCACTTTGATAATTGTATGCATGTCCATTGGGGTGCTGTGTTAATTGTATACATGCCCATTGAGCACTGCTAATTGTATGCATGCCCATGGGGGTGCTGTGCTAATTGAATACATGCCCATGGGGTGCTGTGCTGTTTGTATACAGGACAATGTAACATATCATAACCTAACATGTCTATTAAACTCTGAAACACTCATATATGATGAAAAGTGTCCACAAAAGCCGAACTTCCCAAGGGCACTCGCAGAGTTGACGGGCTCTACACAGCCTACTAGTGAGAACTGAATTAGTGGAAGGATTCTGGTCATATCCCAATCCTTGGGACTATTACTAGACACAAAACTGCTTAGACCCAAGAACTGTAAATCCTAACATGAATTTTAATGTATCCTCCATATATGATACTGTAGTACATACCGCGACTATGGACCATACGTAGGGATTAGCACTGTTGTGCCCTTAAAATCAATGTTTTGTACTATTAGCTTTGTACAGTGCGTAATAAAAACAAAAACCTAGCCTAACTTATCCTAGGCCTAGTGAAATATATGTGCTATATACAGCCTGGAATTGCATATATTAGGCCTAGCACTGCTTGTATTAGGATTAATAGAGGTTAAATTAGATTGCGATTTTCAATGTCCTTTAGAAAACCAATACACATTGCTTACAATAGTCCAAAATGCAAAACAAAAACTTTTTACTTTTTGTGAGTGTCACAGTCAAAGTTCTGTACATATGACTTTAACAGTCGTTGTTATATAGCATCAGTTTTGGAGGATAGGTTGTCTAAATTTAAAATGGCTCCAAAAAGCTGACAGACAACCAGAAATTGGTATAACAAAACTTATACCATTTTTTGATGATAGTTCCCTTCCCTTTCCCCCTCCGTGTTAATTTGTAGTTGTCAATCACGGAATATTTTCATTGAGCGAGCGAGGAATAACTCAAGAGTTTTACCATTAATCCAAGAGACTGGTCACACTGATGCTCACAAGGATCTTCAACAACCAGTTTATACATAAAGCTGATGTTCAGAATATGGACAATTCTTTTACTCTCGTAACATTAAAACTACAGATTTCTTAATACAGAATTCACCTAAAAATTTTGAAATACACAAAAATTGCAGTCTACAATCCTATACAACATATAGCCACAGTTTTTCACAAAAGTGGCGAGTTTTCTGTGAGAAGAAAACGTAATTATAAGAGTTGTGTCTAACCGTCCACGCTGCGCGCGCACCGAAAGGGGGGACTTAATTAAATGCGTGCCTGTGGACTCTTACGGGCTCACCATAGCCTGTGCTACATGGACACTTCGTTCTGAGTAGCTAAATCTGTAACAATAACAACTGTGGACACGGGAAACATCTCTCGTCACGCAGGGTGCAGTTGCACCTCCACAGATCTCCAGTATCTTATTCGAACCCCAGTTGGAAACAGACCCAAATATAGGATGGGTTAACCCAAGTATCGAGCTTCCAAAAGGGTCGCCCAAGTTGGAAAAGACGAACGCTGAAAGAATATTGTTGAAAACATCTTGATAACTGATTAAACCAAAATTATTTATTAGTCAGAAGAAAGACAGAAACGCGATCTATATGTAAAACCTCTACCAGACAAATATTTTAAGTAAAACCGAAGATATTTGTAGTTGTATAAAAGTGGCAGTTTTCATCACTCGTCAAACTCGAAAACCGCAGCATTCATCTCAGAACCATGCCTATTTCACGCAGATTCCTTAATAAACGTAAGAGTTTTATATGTCACAAGAAAGACATATATATAAGCTTCGTTCTAAATACCTTACCATGGGCATATTTAAATTTAAAGCGAAGATACGTGTACTTTTATAATAGCCGAGCTCAGACTCCGGACAGATCGATCGACGGAGCAACTCTCTCTCAGAACAATGCTTATTTCACGTAAATTTGTAAATAATCGTAAATTTTTTATATGCCTCAAGAAAGATAGGAATATAAGGCTCATTTTAAACACTTTATCATAGACATAATTAAAGTTCTAATGAAGATTCATGTATTTTAATAATCGCCGAGCTCCGACCCCCGCATAGACTGAGCGACAGATCAACTCTCTCAGAAGAATGTTTATTTTACGTAAATTCGTTAATAAACACAAATGTTTAATGTTTAATGTTTGTAAATGTTTAAACACGATTTAAATGCATTACTCACAGCAATAGGTACTAACCTATCGTTCATTATTTTAACAGAAACTTGGCTAAATAAAGACTATACCCAACTCTACAACTTAGCTGGTTATAAAGCCATTCATAACTGTAGGCCTAATAAAAAAGGGAGTGGCACAGCTATATATTACCGAGATACATTTATCTGCAACAGTGTTATTAGTGACAGAGATGACTACTGTGAATATACTTTTGCTCAGTTTTCAATTAAATCCCTTAAATCTTCTTTGACTATTGGAGCCATCTATAGATTTCCCAATACTAACATAGCTTCTTTCTCAGACAACCTAAGGAATCTTATTATAAACAACAATCTCAACAAAAACCACATCATTCTGGGAGGAGACTTTAATATTGACCTGGGTCAACAAAATTGCTCTCAAGTTGACTATTTCCTTAACAGCATGAACTCCTGTATGCTAATCCCCACAATCACCAAACCTACCCGAGTCACTCAAACATCAGCCACTACCTTGGACCACATATGGACAAACATAACAGCTCCCCTTGTATCTGGTATAATCTACGACAGAACAACTGACCACTATCCTACCTTTCTCATAGCGAACATGGACATAACACCACCAAAAAGCAAGAAACTTTCATTTAGGCTACACAGTGAATCAGCTTTAGACAATCTTACAGAGGCACTTCACAATATTAACTGGGATTCTGAATTCAATAATACCCATGATATAAATTCATTAGCTAACCTCTTCCTCTCCAAAACTCTAAGCCTCTACAACCTTCATTGTCCCCTTCTTACCAAGCAAGTAACTGACAAAAGATTAAACAATCCATGGCTCACAAGTGGCATTCTTAACTCAATCAACAAGAAAAATGAATATGAAAAGAAAGTTAGGATTGGCCTAGTTTCAAAGGAAGTAGCTAAAAGGTACTCATCAATGCTTACCAGTATCATAAGAAAGGCAAAACTTGCATATTATGTGAATAGATTCAATGAAGCAAAAGGCAACATGAAAAGCACTTGGAAAACTATCTCTAGTATCCTAGGAACTAAACAACACTCACATAACCAAATAAAACTCTACAAGGATGGGGATATACCGTCAACTGATTTAGAAATGGCAAATGAATTTAATACAGTAGTTTCTTTTCATCGGTTGGTGCTAATCTTGCCAGTAAAATCCCACAGACTCAGACACATATTAACACATATCTCTCAGGCAGCTATCCAAACTCTCTTCTCCTTTCACCAATCAGCCCGGCAGATGTTGTGTCCATCATACACTCTCTAAAAACCAAGGCAGGGAACACCAGTGAAATTCTGTCCATTGTGTACAAGAGAGCCTCCCATGCCCTTGCCCCACCCATAGCACTACTGTTCAACAAATCTATAGAGTGTCACACCTTCCCTGATATCCTCAAAAAAGCAAGAGTAACGCCAGTCCATAAAGGAGGCAATCCGGCGGACATAAACAATTATAGACCAATATAAAATCTACCCATTCTATCAAAAATATTTGAAAAAATTATTTACAAACAGCTCTATTCCTACCTCGTAAAATTCGACATACTCAGCCCCTGTCAGTTTGGCTTCCGCTCCCAAAAGAGTACCAACGATGCATTTATTAGTCTCCTTGATATAATTTACTCAGCCCTTGACAAAAATGAGTTTCCGATTGGACTCTTCATTGACCTAAGAAAAGCCTTTGATACTGTTAATCACAACTACCTCTTACTTAAACTCCAGCATTATGGAATCCGAGGCCTTGCCCTTGACTACATCCGATCCTATCTTAGTGACAGACACCAATATGTAACCATCAATGATACAACTTCTTCCACTCTACCAATTACCGTTGGAGTGCAGCATCTTAGGACCTCTTCTATTTCTTATATATATAAACGATCTGCCTAATGTCTCTAATATTCTCAAACCTCTATTGTTTGCTGACGATACTACCCTTATCTATTCAAACCTCAACCCACATACACTAAATAATGTTGTGAATAATGAATTAAAAAAAGTCCACTTATGGCTGTCAACGAACAAACTAACATTAAACATCGAAAAGACTTACTACATCTTATTTGGAAGCAAATCATCAAATGCAATTCAGCTACAGATAGACAACATTAACATCAGTAATAAAAATGATGGCAAGTTTCTTGGCCTATTCCTAGACAAGAGACTCAACTTCAGCACCCACATTCAACACATAACTAAGAAAGTCGCTAAGACAGTTGGTATACTCTCCAAAATCAATTATTATGTTCCTAACTCTGCTCTCCTCTCACTATATTGTGCACTAATCTACCCCTATCTTAATTATGGTATCTGTGCATGGGGGGTCTACCACTGCAAACCACCTTAAGCCCATCATCACACAGCAAAAATCTGCTATCAGAATGATAACTAACTCAGCTTTCAGACAACACTCAGCTCCCTTGTTTAAATCCCTAAACTTGCTAAATATTAACTCCCTCCACACATTCTCTTGTGTCAACTACATTTACAAAACCCTGTTCTTAAATGCAAACCATGCTCTGAAACTCTCCCTGGACAGATGTAATAGGACCCATTTTCACCACACCAGAAATAAATATCTCTTTGATATCCCCAGGGTCAAACTTAATCTGTGTAAACACTCTATGCAAATTAAGGGACCTAGTCTATGGAACTCATTCCCTAGTGAATTGAAAAACTGTAAAACTTTTGCCTTATTTAAAAGCAAAACCAAAAAGTA